CGCAGGCTATAACGCCCGTGCTTGCTCTTACAGCATACATTGCCCATCCCCCTCACCTTCATAAACTTCTCAAGTACCGCCCCAAATTACATTGCCTTCGCACCGACATCACGATACTCGACGATATCACAGGTCCTCGACTATCCCTACATCTGACCATGGACAAAGGCATTTACTTCGAAGGCGACGATGAAGTCATGCCCTTCAACAAATCCACTCCAATCCCCGCTCCCAAAGTCGACAAACCAGTCGACGAACTCGCCTTCATCGACGTCGAACCCAACACAATCTGGTACTTGAGCATCATCCGACCACACATCGATTCCCACGAACTCTTGGGTCCTGCGAAGGCATTCCGCCACCTCCTTCCTCAAATCGAAGACGTCGTCAGCAACTCACCTCCCGCAATCGACAAGTACGCCCTCCTGAAAGAGAAGCCAAACGACGACTTCCTATTTGAGGACGATGAAGATGAAGAGAAGGAGGTTGATGAAGAGTTCTTGGAAAAAGGCTTTGACACATTCATTGTTGAGGGCCAACGCGGCGTCTACACTATACTGAAGATACATCGCGAAATCAACAAAGACGTCTTCGATATCCTGCCTGCGCCCGTCTACACCATTATCTCCGCTGGCCCTCTTGCCCACGCCAAACGCCCAGCCTTCACCTCCCTATCTTCGAAGTTCGAGGCTTCCAAGCCAAAAGGATACGCGGCTACAACCAAGCTTCACGCTTCCTACGTCGATCGTGCTGACGCGAAGGAAGACGCTGAACATATCTTCACCGTCTTACTCCTCGATACAGAGGACGTGAAGCAAACCAAGAGATGGGAGAAAGGGACTAAAGGAGGGGGTATCTTGATCGGTATGAACGCGAGTAGTATGTGGGAAGTCAAGGTCCTTTACATGGATGATCCGATTGGCAGGGCGCAGGAAGAGGCTGACAGGGAGCACGATGGCTTCGTTCTGTGAGGGGATGAGGGGGCGGGGAGGTATTCGGTGTGTCCGCGGTGTTCAGACGGTTGGGTGATGGGGATATGAACTCCTCCCCGGTCTTGTATGAAGCTAAAGCCGGGAAGCTTTTGGTGTCTTGGAGAGAGACGGGACTACCCATGGCGTCCAAGATTTCGGCTTCTCATTCAAACTTTCTACGGGCTTTGCTGTCGTCTCTTGTATGCTGAGACTCTCTATTGCTTTTGTGATGACTTGTTCGCGGTGGAGGAAGCGGCCGTCTGGGCCTCGCGGTGCGCGCATGCATCCTGCGATCCGTGGAGGGTCGTTTGTTTTGCTGTTCTTTCGTACAAGAGCGAGGTGCGTGGTGAGTTGCTGACGTGCGAGTCGTCTTTTCTGGATTCGGTTCTGCTGCTTTGCGTTGAGTTTGTTGACTGGCGTCTCGACTGGTTGCTCGTTGGTTGCTGACATGTTGATCGATGCTTGGGGTACTGTCTCGGGCGTCCTTGCGATGACGGCCCGCCAATTATTCTACGGGTGGGAAAAGAAGAGTAGTTGGATATTTCAATGTCAAGAACAATGGTTTCATGGCTTTCTCCCGTCTAAAGTTTGCAAAAAGCGTTTGTCGTGCATTGCGGATCAAAGACATGCAGGAAAACAATGCCACATGATTTGTTAGTGATGACGTATGACGGTCAGGCGATGCGGGGACGTCTTGCAACGTCGTGAACACACGACCACTACCACAACACCATCTCATCGCAACGCGTCGATTGCTGAACAATAACGAGAGGCTCACAGCAACACATCCAGCACGATGAATGTATTGTCGAATTAGGCTCACACGCTAGGCCCAACGGTGTCGGTAGAAAATCGGGTTTGACTCAACGGCCGACAAGGAGCCTCCCGTCACGAGTCGAGAACTTTTTGACCTCCCTCCATAACTCCCGAGCCCAGGGGACAGACGCCAAGAAGACTAAGAAACTATCACGCCGCACCGCTACTGCACTTCAGTGGACCTCCATCGTCTTTGGCTTAGTTGCGGAAGCATGCCTCTGCTGCATCGGATTGTGGAGCGGAATCCCATCGGACCTAATCCGGTATACTATGCAGAGCCCAACGCTCTCGGTAGTTCGAGCCGCCGACCGACGACGAGATAACTGCTGTTATGCGCCAATACAAGCCTATGCACGATGTTATTGCCAACCTCTTGAGGCGCCTTCCTTCGTCGTTTGCAGGCTTCCCCACCATAGCGTCAAGGAACAACAGGATTGAACTTATGCGGTCACACTCGGTAGCATTCCGCAACAACACCAACGTTTGAAACAAGCCACAGGCGGAAACAGAAACACGCTACAGCTTGTCTCTCCACCAGAGATTGCGGTGTGGATACATCGGAAAAGGGTCGTTCGTGATAGGCCTACGGCTAAAGTGCAGGTTGAAGTGAACCACTACTGACTCGGGAGTGCTCCATCTCGCGAACCCATCAGCCTGGATGCACGCCTTCATCGTGTAAATTGAGTCTTAACAGCTCAAATAAGCGCAACAACAGGCTCAATTGAAGGCGGCCGATATATATAATGGTGTAGACCGTCACCATCCGTGAGTCTTGCCTTGCAATCGTTCTTGACAACCACGCAAACTTCGGTAGCCGCGCTACCTCCGAGACCCGTATGCAGTCTCTATCTTTGGCACAGTGGGTACGAGCACAGCGAGCGCTAGATGGTAGGTAGTAGCTCACCCGAACTCAGACGTGAGTGGGCTTGCAGTCTGGTTGTGTCTGGATCCCGATCATCACGTCCTTCAGCATGTGCGATCCCGCCGTGCCCCCCTTTCCGTCATTACTCGTTTCACGTTGAAGAGGCGGAGAAATAGTCTTGCTGCATTTTCATGCACTGAGATATTGGAAGTTGGAAGAGACATCACAACACTGATGATAACAGCGTTCTGCGACTCCTTCATGAGTGTCAATCCACTATTGACCGAATGCTGAAGTCTGCTCACACATTCCTATACTACTGTGCATAGTCTGCACCGGCAGCGAAGTTCCGTCGTTGATGGTACCTGCACCTCTCTAACTGATGAGACCTCCGACTGCCAAGTCTCCTACTGCCAAGATAATGGTTTGAAACAGGCACCCGTATGGTGACAGGCCCACCACCGCGGTTCCCAGGATCCAAAAAGCGGGCGCTACGGGGGTCAATACCACAATGACAGCTCTCATCCCTTCGTATGGTCATCTCGCTTCGCCACAGCTGTGCGGGATAGCGGAAATACGGCCACAGCCAAGAGATCTCGGCCTCATGCGTCGATGGAAGGAAACACCTGAGGCATTGTTTCATGGTGCAAACCAACGTCGGCGAAGAGGGGTTTGCAAGGAATGAGTGGAAAGACCAGCTCTGGTCACTGGAAACGGTTAGCGACATTGACCACGGCGCTCAGATAGGAACGCATGCTCAGATACATAAGAAGCAAATCACCACCACGATGGAGAGCTCATCAGCACACTTTTGCACACTGTCTTTCGCTTCTCTTCAGCTTTTCGCTACTACATTCGTTTCTACAGGCTAGTCCTACTATACAATCGTTTTTCATCTTCCAACCCACTACCAAACACTAAACCAACCACCACTACCCACCTCAAACATGAAGCTTTCCATCATCGCCGCAGCTGCCATTGCGCAGATTGCCTCTGCCCACTACACCTTCGATGTCTTGGTCACCGACGGCCAGGAGTCCAAGGGCTACGAGTTCATCCGCGAGAACACTCGTGCGGAGAAGTTCAACCCCACCAAGTGGAAGAACCCCCTCGACAACATGACCCCCGACATGGACGACTTCCGCTGCAACAAGGGTTCCTTCGCCAGCGCTGGCAAGACCGGCGTCAAGGAGGTCGCAGCCGGCACGAAGATGGCCATGAAGCTTGCCTACGGCGCTACCATGAAGCACCCCGGCCCCGCTTTCGTCTACATGTCCAAGGCGCCCAGCTCCGTCAAGGAGTACGAGGGTGACGGCGAGTGGTTCAAGATCTTCGAGTCTGGTCTTTGCCACCCCGACAAGGACATTCTCGGTGATGCTTGGTGCACCTGGGATAGCAACAAGATCGAGTTCACTGTCCCGGCTGAGGTGCCAGAGGGCGAGTACTTGATCCGCTCTGAGCACGTTGGTCTTCACGGTGCGCACGATGGCCAGGCTGAGTTCTACTACGCGTAAGTTCTTTTCTTCACTACTTCTTCGACGACGATTACTAATGAACCATAGCTGCGCTCAAGTCAAGGTCACCGGCGGCGGCAGCGGCACCCCCGGCCCCACCGTCAAGTTCCCCGGCGCCTACAAGAAGGACGACCCGGAGTTCAACTTCAGCATCTGGGGTGGCTACAAGGACTACACCTTCCCCGCCCCCGCTGTCTGGGATGCCAGCACCAGCGGCGGCGCTCAGTCTCCCGCTCAGACCCCTACTGAGGAGCCTGCTGAGGAGAATTCGCCCGCTGCTTCCCCTGTTCCTTCTTCCGAGGAGCCTGCTGCTAGCAGCGAGGCTGTTGCGCACAACTCTGAGAACTGCAAGGGTGGCAAGGCTAAGCGTGGTCGCCGTGCTTTCCGCGAGGCTCTTCTCCGTAAGGAGTAAGATGCACATGTTTTGCATGATTTGGAGGATTGGAACGATGATAGGCTAGACTTCATGATCTGGTCGACTTTTTGTATATATACTTTTTTGATAGGCGCAGCCGTGCTGCGCTTTCTTGTAGATGTTGCTGGATGAAAAATACAATCAGTACTGTCAAAGCAAACTATCTTCTTTCGAGTGCACTGTGACATTCCTTCATTTTATCTTGCGATGGATGGTATTTAGACTTTTACTGAGGGCGACATGTCTACACTGTGTTCCTCACGTCTTCATCATATCGTCACTTTGACTAACAACGTTTACATGTAACATGTCTGCAGGAACGTGTATTAGACTTCGGAGTTCGGTTGTCGTAGTCTTAGTTCGTCTACCTGTGATTATGTCTTTGTTGCGACACCCTGAGAGACGGAACCGACGCTTCTCCACTAGATAAGGTATATCTTTTGCACTTTGTGCATCTTGTCTGCGATGGCGTTCAGAACAAGACGTTGTTGTAGTACACCTCTTAACCGCGCAATCATCTCCATCGTCAACACGATAATCCAGAGTATGTTGATGTTCTGCTCGAGCGTGAACTTGTCATCGATTTTGAGGTCATCTAGCAGCGTGACAGCATTACGAATCATGTCACCCACCGTGACGCGTACGGTTTCCTGTTTGGGTTTCTCTGATGTCCGTTCAAGCGTGCCCAGGGTACGGACAATTACAGGTAGTAGAAAGGGGTTAATCTGCAATATCGCCAGGGAAGGAGACTGAAAGTTCTTGCAGGCGCTCGTGTGGCGTTGAACAACCCCATCTAGATATTCGTGCATTTCTCCCATCGATAAGATTTGCCTCCAGTACCACGTTTTTCGAACTCGCTCTATGCGGAAAGAGAGTCCTGCGTCTAACAGATTGATACCATGCGAGTCAGGAGGCTTGTAGATCTTCTTGACCAACTCGGTTAGCTCTTGATGAGCGGATCCAGTCATGTCGGCGGGTTCAGTGATGTCGAAGCCGAGTGGTGCGTTCTCAAAGGCAAAAGCCATGACACGCTCCTGCTGTTCCCTGATGGCCGCCATTTCGACCGGCTCCTGGCTTTCGGCTACGTGTGCGTCGGACAACCAATCTGATTGTTGGCTAGCAGCGGTCGCTAAAGGAAAATGCTGCTTCCAGTGATCTTGAATGATGGCGCTGACTGTTGACTTCGCGAATGCGCTTCCAGCGCGTGTACTGAAGAATAAAAGATCGATCAGCCAACCCTCCACGATCTCTACTTCAAGGCCAGCTAGCTGCCCAGATATTGCAGATATATTTCCACGTTCACGAAAGCCCGGGATAAGCTTGTAGCCCGCAAGGGCTGCTTCTCTCATTGAGAGATAATCACTCTGAGATGACTTTTCACGATGGGAGTGGTGGGTGAAGTCTTGCCTGATAGCCCATGGGTCAGCAGTCAGAATACCTCGCAGACCGCACGATATTTCACATGGTCTGTCGAGGTTATAAACTTTGTTGGCATGCAACTTTAACAGACAGGCTCGATTCCAGTTGACCAGAACATGCAATTCAGCGTCTTCGCGCGGCATGCGATTCTTTGTTCGACCAAGATTCTCGGGGTCTGCTAAATCCAGATCCTTTGGGTCCGCGAAACCCAGACCATATAACGGATTACCGTTGATGTCGGTGAAGTGAATCTCGTCTTCTAGAACAGACAGTAAATGCACGGCGTCGACCACCATTATACCGGCTTCTGGTAGTGGTCTTGCTGTACCCTGTGGTCTGCAAATGTCTTCTAGTGTCCATCTATATTGGGATGCGTGTTTCCTGGGCCAACGCCAGTTCAGACCTGACGAAGATCTCCCCAGGTCTGTAGATTTGAATTCGAGCGTTGCGGATGCTGAGGGGGTGTGCTCGTGGCTTGTCTCTATATTAGAAAGAGACTCCCAGTCGGGAACCCACGACGGCAGCAATGGGGTCGTTTTTGGAAGAAAGGCAAGATCCAATATGTATGACTGGAGTGGCCAGGATCCCCATTCTGTAAGCCAGTACATAGCCAAGCCTGTATAGAGCTGTTGGACGTTGATGCCATAATCGACCGGAAGATCGGATCGCTCGTTCCTACCAGTGAGGCCTAGCAAGCCATATAATCTATCCCGCGCATCACCGCATCGACAATGCAGTGTGGCTCTGAGCAGCGATATTATACTCATGTCGCTTTGCTCGATGTTGAGGTACTCCACCCAATGCTGCACCCAGCGCTTACCTTCGCGCTCACCATCGCGCTTCCACTCGCGCCCATATCCATACTTCCCCTCGCCCCCACCCTCGTGCTTCCATTCACCCGTGCCCTCGAGCGTCTTATCTCTGTAATTGCTCAGATATCTCAAAAATCGGTCCCAATCTATCGTGACGTCACCAACGGTGAGGGTGGCTTTGTTGCTGAGCTGGACCTCTTGGATTACCCAGATGCGTGAGAAATAGGGTATCTGCAAGATGAATCGTGGATCCACTGAGGTCGCGTGGTTATCATCAGTAAAGTCTGGGATGGGGACATGTTTGACACTCTCATCATCCACATATATGAGAACCCTGGACGCGGACTCGAATATCTCCCTCATGAGTGACACTTGTTGCCCGCGCTCTTCCAAATCAAACTGATTTATACAGATGGCGTCTACCCAGATAAGACGGTCGACAGCGATCCGGTAACGTTGTAGCGCTGCCATGCAGTTCTTCGTCACGAGACAAGTGTCGTAATTTGGACCGATGAAAATAGTCTCGCACAGGGCTGAATTGCCATCGGAGTCTGCCCAGGTGTACGATAAAGCCTCGAAGATTGGTCGGCTCTGATCGCGAAGCCTCCAGACTAGTAAATCGCAATGAATAGGGTCGCTCTTCATTCTGCTGCCATGCAGGCAAAGAAGACGAATCGAATCAGTCTCAGGAAGGCGGGAATAAATCTTGTGTAGCATCGGCTCTGGGCGCATCTGTTGCTGCAAGCTCTCCTGATTCCGAGACAACGAGGGGTCAGGTCCCTGGCTCGCATGGCTGGCAGTCCATTCATCAATGTTGGCACATATGAATGCTCGCAGCTTTTGCTCTTCATTATAGTCATGACCAGACGCTGCAGCGTAGCCCTGGTCTTCGTCGCGAATGAGATTGGAAAAGACCCGTGGAGGCCATGTGCACACCAGTTGTGATCGTGAAGTATGTAGCGGAGGCGCGGGCGGTGAAATCGGATGGATAGGCGTTAGCTCGGGCGCCCTGCGCTGGCAAGTGCGGCACCCAGGCCGTCCGTCTTCCCACTCCAGATGCAGGTCTGCGCAGCTCGCATCATGCCATGCCATGAAGCTAAATTGGTTCACTTCTGCTCTGCGAAGTGGATAAAGAATGTGTAGGATGTAATGGCGATAAGGTAGTTGCGCAAGGCTGGAGGAAGCAATGCAGACTACCCCGCCGAGCTTGTGCCTATTGGTCAGCTTTGCTGCATCGATATCTCGTTCTGGAGACAAGGCAGGGGCCTAAGTCGACGTTGAAGATTGGCAAATGAGCATCCAATACTCCTACAAGATCAGTGTTCGATACCCACAGTTTTGCAGATGTGCTGCAGTCGCTCGCGGAGCCCCAGCGACTTTTCAGGAAACATGATACTACACCATGGCACCACAAGAGCCGCCTGAAGCGATCAGAGCCAAATCCAACGATGCTGACCATTTTGAGAGACCCAACTCAAGTTTCCTCACAGATGCCACCAGGACACTAGAGGACGGAGGACTTGCAAGACCCTCAGACCATTTCCTGTCCCGAGGCCTGGAAGAGCCAGCTTGCACATGACAGCTGAGCATCGTGACGAACTGAGGCATTGCACCCCGGCGTCTGACAGGCTTCTCGTGTAACAATGAAGTCCTGCGGCTGAGGCCACCACCGTCGCACAAAGTTTGCATAGTCGGTACGAGTTGTGGGGTGGTGACATCTCAGCGGGAACGCGAGAAAAGTTGGTAGCGAAGCAGCAGCAGTGCGTTGGGCGACAATGTGGAGAAGAACATGCGGACGATGAATGTCGGGGTACGCGATGTCGCTTTGTCATGTACCTCAGAGCTCAGATGCCGCGCCTGAAGATTTTCTCTTCGGCGATTCGTGCTATGTCGGGGCTGAATTCTTTTCCGCGTCAAGCTTCGTCGGGGTAGGCACTAGCGCAGGGCATGGCCAATCAGGGTTGTGGGCCGTCGGATCGAAACCATGGGGAGACCTCCGCGTGATTGACAGCGAGCGACCCACTTGAACGAACCACCTCGGTAGCGACAGCCTTCTCGCCATCATCGCTACCACATTATCCTCCCGCAGCGAAGGGACTGGATTTGCATCTCTCGCGGTCGCTGGGTCAGGCATCCTGACCGTGCATCGTGACCACATGCACTAATCAAGGGCGGCCCCGGTTGGACGTTTCCAGCGTCGGGACAGGAGCGGAGGCTGGGGTTGGTGGTGTTGGGCTAATGAGAGTGACTCGTGCCACACTGCGCGCTTAATTAGGAGCTCCGAAGGCCAGCGAAGTCGCGTATTGGCCGTTAGGCGTCCATGGCGGACAAGCGTCAGCAGTTCACATTCATCATGACCGCCGTTGCATTAGCGTTCAGCCACATGGTGTTGTCTGGGGAAAGAGGCCTGCAGTGGTGAAAAGCATAGCGCAGGCCATGCCATTGGCGCATCGTCAGCGCATCATCGTGATGTGTGAAAGCAGGCGTCGAAGGCGGAGGGAGCCGAGTGTAGGGCGCCGCGCACCTGGTATTGGGGGCTAGCGGCGTTACCAGTCTGCTCCAGACACACGTTAGCCGACTCCATGGGCCACGAGAGACTCCATGGGCCACGATGGTGGAGTCTAGTGAAGTGGGAACCCTTGGTCGGGGAGCACCTCACGTGCGGCTCTGAAAACCTAGAAGCGTTCTAGACAGGCAAAACCACCGTCTGTGCTCCAGCTGCCAAGGTCAAATCACAGCCGGTGCAAATGCCGGTCCGACACTTGTCAAATTACCAGGTTAGTCGGGCCAGTCGGGCCTGGAGAAGAAGCTGGAGCAGGCAAAACGCGGGCGACCATTCCCCAGAGAGCTGGTGGCGCGCACCCTTCACTGGGTTCCAGGCTAATGCACCCAATAGCAGGGAAGCACGGGCCCCTACTAGTCGCGCCGCAATGTTACCTAGCCATTTCTGCGGTACACTTGTTCCGCACTGCACTAGATCTCAAATCTCCAGCTCTGTTTATTAACCCTCAACTCACCCGCATCTCGGATTCTGATTCTTCGTCCAAGGCCGCGTGCGAGTTCTACCCTGCACAGCTTCAAGCAACGCGCTTCGTCAACTCCCTCAGCGTACAACCCCCACGCACTTGCCCATCATGAGCCACAACAACGACCTGGCCGACGAGGCCGCCAACCCCAAGGGCATCCAAGCTACCACTGATGTCAACATGACTGAGTGCCCTGTCACTTGGAAGGCCTACCTCCTCTGCGCCTTCGCCTCCTTTGGTGGTATCTTCTTCGGTAAGACAACAACATTGTACAATCTCCACAGTAACAGTGGCTGACTGCAAACCCAGGTTACGATTCCGGATACATCAACGGTGTGCTCAACTCGCCTCTCTTCATCCAGGAGGTCGAGGGCAACATCTGCCCCCAGGGTCTCGACACTCCCGATGGCCTCTGCAAGATCAGCTCTGGCAACACCTCGCTCATCGTCTCTATTCTCTCCGCTGGTACTTTCTTCGGTGCTCTCGTCGCTGGTGACCTTTCCGATATGATTGGTCGCAAGTGGACCATTGTCCTGGGATGTCTCATCTACATCATCGGTACGAACTCCCCCGCTTGCACTACTTTATGAAACAAGCCACTAACCCCCACTTAGGAGTTGTTCTGCAAATGGCTGCCACTGGCCGTGACCTCCTTGTCGCCGGTCGTGCCATCGCCGGTATTGGTGTCGGTTTCGAGTCTGCCATTGTCATTCTCTACATGTCCGAGATTTGCCCCAAGAAGGTCCGTGGTGCGCTCGTCTCCGGTTACCAGTTCTGCATTACCATTGGTCTCCTGCTTGCCGCCTGTGTCAACTACGGCGTCCAGGGTCGTGGTGATACTGGCGAGTACCGCATCCCCATCGGTATCCAGTTTGCCTGGGGTCTTATCCTCGGTGGTGGTATTGCGTGCCTTCCCGACTCCCCCCGTTACTTCGTCAAGCGCGGCAAGCCCGATGAGGCCAAGAAGGCTCTGATGAAGATCCGTGGTGTCCACCCTACCGACCCCCAGGCTGCTGAGCTCAGGTCCATGGTTGAATTTGAGCTTGCTGAGATCATTGCCAACGAGGAGTACGAGCGCGAGCTTATCCCCGCCGGTGGCTGGATCTCTGGCTGGGCCAACTGCTTCAAGGGTTCTCTCTTCCAGTCCAACTCCAACCTCCGCAAGACTATCCTCGGTACCTCGCTCCAGATGATGCAACAGTGGACTGGTGTCAACTTCATCTTCTACTACTCCACTCCCTTCTTGGAGTCGACTGGCGCCATCTCCAACACCTTCTTGATCTCGCTCGTCTTCACCCTCGTCAACGTCTGCTCCACCCCTCTTTCCTTCTACGGAATGGAGAAGTTCGGTCGTCGCACACTCCTCCTCTTCGGTGCTCTCGGTATGTTGATCTGCCAGTTCTTGGTCGCCATCATTGGTGTCACTCAGGGATTCAACAACTCCACTACCCTCGCCGACGGCACCACCCGCGCCAACAACATCTCGGCCGTCAACGCCCAGATTGCGTTCATCGCCATCTTCATCTTCTTCTTCGCCACTACCTGGGGTCCTGGTGCCTGGGTCCTCATCGGTGAGGTCTTCCCTCTGCCCATCCGCTCGCGTGGTGTTGCTCTCTCCACCGCCTCCAACTGGCTCTGGAACACCATCATCGCCGTCATCACCCCCTACATGGTCGGTACCGACCAGGGCAACCTCAAGTCCTCTGTCTTCTTCATCTGGGGAGGTCTCTGCACCATCGCTTTCATCTACACCTACTTCTTGGTTCCCGAGACCAAGGGTCTGTCTCTCGAGCAGGTCGACCAGATGATGGCCGAGACCACTCCCAGGACCTCTGCCAAGTGGCGCCCTACCCACACCTTCGTCGAGAGCTCCCTCCAGAAGGGTGGCTCTACCATGATCGAGCGCAACGGTTCCATTGTCGTTGACACTGAGAAGAACCACCGCACTGCTTCCGTCCACTAGATGGTTAATGGTGTAGTGTTTTATTCACGTCTTGATGACACGAATGAGTCACTTTGAATGATGTAATGTTTGGTTCTAGCTATGCAGTACAGTATAGCATATTACTAAAGACACGGAATGGATAGATGCCTGGGCTGGAGAATGATACCTCTGTAGTTTCTACTATAGCATAAACTACTTCTTAATCTTGAACTATCAATGCTCTTCTCACATGTGATGTCTTCTTTGATTCTTAACTTTGGGATGCTCTTCTCTTATGTGATATATCCTTCGATGTTCAATCTTGACATGCTCTTTTCTCATGTGATGTCTCCAACGTATCATTTCATACATCCTTCTGGATCAACATCTTGCTTATCTCCAATCACACATACCCAACCCCACCCTCTGCCTCCTCAACCCCTCCCTCAACTTCCCATCTCTCTCCCTTGCCCCCTTCCCCACGCCCTTCCTCCCTCTCTTCACCCTCCCCTTCTCCACCCCCCTAATCCTCCCTTCCATCCTCTTCACCTCAAGCTCATCCGCCCAAGGCCCCGCTTTCACCTCCGCCCCACTCCTACCCACCCACCACTGCGGATCGTGAATGCCCAGCCAACCCCCTTGCTTCACCCAATCCGGTCGCGGGACGCCCAATTCATAGATCTCAAAGAGCGGTGATGAAGCTATGAGTGTGGCGTTGGTGCGGAGGAGATTCAGGGCGGCGAGCGTGGTGGGCTTGCTGGTGGTGGTTGGGATGGTGAAGCGCGTTGTTTGCGCTGGGGTGGTGGTGGAGAGGGTGTAGGTGATACCGGATTGTATGCGGTGGAGGAGGGGGTCTGTCTCTGAGATGGTGGTTGCCTCGTCCAGCGAGGCGGATACGGAGGGTGTTGGGGAGGTAGAGGGTTGGCGGATAGCTGGGCGGGGAATCCTTCGCCTTGGTGACCGGTGTCGCAATGGCGACGCGGGGGGTGATATCGGCTTCTCGATGCGTGGTCGCTTGACTGGTTGTGATGAGGCCGGCTCATCGTCTGCTCTACGCTTGGAGGATGTGGATGTCATGATTGCAGTAGAGATGGTGGTAGTAGGGAAGTGGTTTGGAGAGGTAGGACGGTGTTTGTCAAATTTGAAGACGTCATTGAGATATCTAGACAATAGGATTATGCTATAGTGGAAGTGAAAGAGAGTTTGTCTATAGACACAACAGCTCATGCGCCGAATATAACAGCCTATTTCACCACAGTATCTCAGAACCCCTTCACCTTGACTGTACACGTATATAGAGCCACACACATGACTGAATCGTCATTCACTGAGTTGGACAACCTCCAGGGCCACGAAGAGACATCTTCTCCAGCATCTTTGCAGTGTCTGGATCATCATGGATACTCTCCTCACCGAGATCGTTCGGTCCAAGAGCTATCCACATCATCAGTAGCTCAATGCCCGGTATAGTTGGCTGGTTCACTTCCTCGCGATGCCTCTCGACAACCTTCATCAGTACTTTAGGCTTCACGGCCCCGAGCCGGGTCGTACGTGGTCCTGGAAGCGAACGATTGGGGTGGGCTTTGGTGGTCAAGTATATCCCAGATATACCGGTGATCTTGTCCGCGTAAGGTATATCACCCTTAAAGCCAAGCTCGCGCATGACCCAATGTTCTGACTGGACTTGAGGACCCTTCCAGGCTTGGAATGCTGGCATCATATGGGGCGTCTTGGGAAGGGCAGTGTGAAGAGCGTCTAGCCTAGACTTGCGCTGAGCCTTTGTGAGCTCTTTCCATGATCTCGCTGTGTTGTAGCCGTTCTGGGTTGGGGGGAGAGTCGCCATCTTGTAGGACTTAGCAAATGCCTTTGCTGCTTTGACGGGATGATCCAGACCCAGTTCAGCGACACCCAAGAAGCGGTAGAAGCGAGCGATAGCAGACACTGGAACTGCCTCAAACTCCAAGAGCTCGTTGTACAATTTGGCATCCTCAGCATAACCCACCTTCTTCGGTACATGCTCGTACTTCCGGCCGATTCCGTCAATGGCCATGTCCGAGAAGAAGAACATCGCTAGTTCAAGGCAGACCATGCATTCGAGTGCACGAAGTTGAGCTAGGAAATCGGGTTCCAGGCGTGTACTCATCATGTTGTTGTGCTCCAGTGTAATGTCGATGAACTTGAGTGTGTCGTCCCACTTCGCGAATGCCATGTCTCCATTGCCTATGTTGAATGCCATGTCACCCATGCATTTGATGGAGAGAGCGATATCGTAGACTTCAGCGACAGCAGCTCGTAGCCATGCAACTCCCTGAGTCATTGCCTGCTTGACGCGTTCAACAAGGACAGCATCAAACGAGGTGGTGAAGGCGACCTGCTGTCGGCAAGCTACACCGCTGACTATGATAGCGGTGAATTAGATTAGCAAACGTCTCATATGCAACTCGCCATGGCAATACTCACCTTTCTCCATAGGTAAGATCAACCTCTCTTGATCCTCCCTGCTCAGAGTGCCGACGGTACCGGGCGGCTTGTGTAGTGCGAACTTGAAGTCATAAGCCATGAAGTTGGCGAAGTCCAGGATTCGTAGAACGCGAGCAAATTTGGCCATGTCTTGCAAGAGCAACAATCCCACTGTCGTCTTGCCACCATACCTCGACTTCTGGTGGAAGCTGGGATTGACATTGACTTCAGCAACATGCTTGTCGAACTCATCCATCTTCAGCTTGAAGTAAGGTGTTTCGTGATTGATCAGAGCAGTTTCAATCATCGTACCATAGCCATTGTGAAGTTTGATCCACTTGTTGTCCTCGTAGAAGATGTTGGTAGCTTCCTGATTGATAGCCTTGTTAGTGCGAAGGACAGCGACCTGGAAGTCATAGTCTTCGACGAGATAGCGGTTGGGCGGCCCACGAACTCGATCAGAGAGTAGCAGGTAGCGGAGGATGTCGCGAAGGATGTGCTGCGGCAGCACTTCCAGACGAGACATGATGGCGTACGCTGTCAGGTCACGGCGGCAGCTGGTCGCTAGGGGTGAGCGTGCAGTCGCGACTGTCGGCTGTCGGCTACCGCAGAGCTGTAAGTACACGAAAAACTTTGAACAGAGCAATGCTTGAGACAGGATCACACAAATTGGTGAGTAGCGTCGAGGTGAACGATGAGAGTGCCCAGGTGAAAGACATCAACTCGACGGCCTCAACGGGCGTGATGAACGAATTTTCCGTTGACGACGTCATTTTTCTACAAGCTTTCAGGCAGCAATGTCAAGTGGAAGGTGCTGATGACTTTCTGTGTTGTGCAGCGAAAGTGAGTGAGTAGAGACGGGCAACTGCGAACAACAGCCCTGCGGGGATCTTACCGAGGCTTATATCGATGTAGCTTAGCGTCTCCGCTTAGCTCAGGTCCCTGCGCATGCTCCCCGGGGCCGGCTCTTCTGCCTTCATACCCATCCTCCACGCAGTCCATCTCATCATGTCTAGCCGTCTCTTATCACTACCGCGCGAACTTCGCGACATAATCCTCGAATTTGTCATCAGTGCGCACGTCGAGCCTCCAAGACACCCTGCATCAGATGACACCCCTCGCAAGGCCTCAGTAGGCTTGAATTGCCTGCGAATACCCGTCTTGCCACCTGCCGAGCAATATGCTACTTACGGACTGCTCCTCACGAACAGACAACTGCACCACGAGACCACAACCCGTCTCCGCCGCCCGACGGCGTACTTTCTCGACGTCATGATGGTCAACGACAAAGAGCTCTGGCCCACATGGACCTGCTGTCCAGCTCGAAGCAAGGAGTCGATCGCTTTCATTGGCATAAACGTGCGCGAAACCAGAGATAGGCCAGCTCTCTATTTGAAGCGGCTTCACGACATTCTTCTCGATAAAGCTAGTTTTACCGGTCTCGTCGAATACATAGCTAATATCTGTTGCCCTGGTCAACAAATTAGGAAACTTGGGTTGAACCTCCTTACACCCACTGGACCTGAGCGAGCCCCGCATATCAGTACTGTGCAGTTGGACTGGTTTGGGTGGAAAGGAAGATTCATACAGCGGGACATGCGTCCTGTGATGAGCCAAGAAGATGTCACGAACAACGAGAGGCTAGCCCTGAGACTACTAGCCTATCGAATGGCCTTTTTCCTACTCTCAATAGAGATAAACGTGTCGGAACTGGGTCGCATGGGCTTCAAACCGTGGGCTGGAGGCTTTGACAAGAAAGTCATTATTGTCGATGGGGACAAGAGGGCTGAACTAGGAAGGCGCTGGGAAGGGATTCCTGATCCGCCTGTCCAGAGCGCTACTGACGCACTTAATCACAACGACAATGTTCTAGGAGCACTTTCTCCGTCCACTCCCACAAACCTCCCGCCAGAGCTTGGTCTTTAGCCTCTGCCGTCAATTTCTCCGTGGAGTCTACGCCCCCCGGCGTGTAGTATCCTCCATTCTGCAATGCTCCTTTCTCCGCTCCGGCCGCACACCAAAGCTGATTCAAAACGCCCTCATGTGGCTCAAGCCACTTCTCGCCCGACATCCGCGACGTTACATTGACGAACGTCTTACTCCAGCCGGCCATCTCGGTATTCATGGTCGTCTTGACAAGTCCAGGGTGGATGGCTACAGACGTCAGCTCAGGATGCCGACGCGCGAGCTCCGCTGCGAAGAGGATGTTTGCGAGTTTGGACTGGCCATAACGAATCCATGCGCCTAGCATCATTCGAGACATCGTGCTTCCAGCGTCAAGTTCATCGAAGGAAATGCCACCCTTGATGGCGCGATGGAACTCGTAACCGGCGGACGTGTTGCTGACGACACGGACGTCTGCACCGGGCTCTTTGGCTGTCTTGAGCAAGATGGGCATCAACTCTTTGGTAAGCATCGCATGGCCGAGATGGTTCGTCGCGAATTGGATCTCGTAACCATCGGTACTCAAGACTGCTGGTTTCGCAATGATACCGGCGTTGTTCATCAGTATGTCGAGGCGGTCATGTTTGAAGTCTTGAGCGATGGCCTCTTTGACTGCGCGAAGGGACGAAAGATCCATCTTGATGAAGCTCAAAGATGTCCTCGGGTGCTTGGCTTTGATGTCGGCGATCAGTGCATTCGCTGCAGCGACATTGCGCCCTGTGAAGTAGATGTGTAATGGACTGTGCGCCGCCAGTGCTCGCACACTTTCTTCCCCCAATCCTGCGGTGCCTAATATGACTGTCAGAAGAATGTCAATGACGGGAAACAAGTTCAATTACCTCCAGTCACCAAGATCACTTTTCCGGAAAGGTCTCGAATGTCCTTTGCAGGGTCGAAGTCTTTGTAGCCTTGCATGTTGAGGCTTGAGTCGCGAGGTGCGTTGATGTCGACATCTCAGTTTCTGCAGATGCACAGTGCCTCTTATATACATGGCGCACTATTGCCATTTTACAATTCGGACGAAAAGGCAGGCTTGTTGTGGCGCGTCTTCAAGGTGGTGGTGCTGCTGCGAAGACTATCTCCGCCGGTGAGATGTGTGGCCGCAACGTGCAAAATGCCGGGATGATCGACGAGAGTGCAAAAACGCTATACCACATTCGGCTATGAAACAGAATTATGGCTGCGTGCACGAAATTCGAAGACGAAAGTCACCTATCATAATTCACGTCACGATCACTGGCCATCTAGATCGAAAGTAAGGTGTAGGATGCATTACATGAGCTGTCAAGGTGTTACCCAGTCGCGCTGGCTCATAGATCGGCCACGCTAGCACGTCCCATGTGCAGCTATGCGTGCCGTCCCGTCGCATTCGTCGCGTTCCTTTCCAAGCCGTCTCCATCTCTCACCACCTACCCCGAGTTCGTCAGACACTCCAGCGCGTGCGATAGGTCGACTGTACGCGGGGTCTAGTACAGGCTGCCGCCATGGTCGCTACCCAACCCTTTGGTCGTGTTAGCGGCTTTACAGAGGCCGCGACGCGTCGCATTCTCGTACGCAACATATCTCGGACGGTATCAAATCTTGCCGATGGTGGAAATGGTACGAAGGCTTCGTAAAAGGTATTGCGTCGATCCGCTTGTCCAAGACTACCTAAAGGTGCGCGCTGGCAGAGACTTCACATTGGTCCTAGTCCTGTTTGTTGCATGGTGCGGATACGATCAAAAGCCAAGGGAAATGCGCGGCCGCTTTACTACTTGTCTAGACCTTGTTGTCTGGGCTTTGGTCATGCGTTCCCTCATCCCATGCGAATTCTTTCGTCATAGTAATCCCTCTTTCTCTCCTCATACTCTGCGAGAGCTCGCTTGTGGTCACACTGCCTTCTTTGCACAGGGCAGTACCCGGGCACTCCCCATGCACAGTCGTTGTCGTGAGACACATTTCGTCTTCATCCAATCGCGATTTGCCCCACTGGCTCCGAGTGTCATTGTTAATCGTGTCTCCCAACGTATCCTTGAGGTTGATCTTGCGCGTGCGCTTCTTGGATATTGTTTCAAGAGGGTTCAGCGAGGGGCCGGATGATTCGGAATGCTGCGATGATTTGAAGGAGGATGGCAGGCGGGTCGAGAGTGCATTGATCACTTTCATCATGAGCGGTCGCAGGGTGGGTAGGCATCCGGATATGATACCGATGGAAGGCTCTACGGAGGACCAGATGAAGACGTCGCTCTTCGCCCAGCTGATGTCTTTCGACTGGACGAGGTGGGTAATGGTGATGATGCGGTAGAGCGAAGCAAAACAGACGCTGCACTTGTTAGCGAAACTTCATCGAAGGTACGGACATTGGGTTGCGACGTACAAGCTACCAAGTAGGAACGTGAGACAGACTGCCACCTTCTGGGTCCGTCCCATGTGAAGCTTAAGCACGCTCGCTATGGGTATCGTAAGGATGCATACATCGCCGAAAAGGTTGATGATGCCGACACCGAGATAGAACTATATCCTGGTCAGTCGCTGTTGCAGCTCGGTCTTGGAGTATTCTCACCTTTGCCTCGTCTACCTGGACTACGCCTTTATCTCCGTACCACTGGTTCCAGTAGTAGTGCAATGGTCGCGTGTAGAGAGGTAGGACGATGTGGTTGGTGATAAGATAACCTGTAGTGAGAGCGATGCAGAAATAGCCAAAGTACGAGAGGCCAAATATGCGGCGGTATAGCGCCAGAATCGAGAACTTGATGATGCACACACTCCATGCGTAGATGAAGACATATGCGAAGGTGATCTTACTGTGGTCAGCACTGCGATACTTGTGGGGTTCTGGAAGTCGCAACGCACTATCGTAATCTGTCGCATCTCATACGGCCCCAAGGACCATATGTGCTTTCCAAGGCCGTAGAAGCCGCCTAGTCTGGACTTTAGCATCCGTGATTAGTCTCGCGGGATCGATTGCTTTACCTGCAATGCAGCATGCCAGGTTGCCCGCATTCAGCGCCAGACCGAGAAACATGAGATAATCATCTAGACCCAGTGGCTCACGCTTTACGTGCAAGCGAGTGTAGAGGCGTAAGCCCACGAAAACGAGAGAAAGGACGAAAAGTACAACGCCGATAGCATTGTTAGAAGCAGTGCGGGATTCGTTCAAGTCGAGACCCGGAGGGGGGTTTGCAAAATAATCAAACGCCATGTCAAAAGCCGGTTGTCGTCGGAATCACGCAGTTTGGTTTGCGAAGTGTCAGATAATGGTACAACATCATTTGACGCAGAGGGTCAAGTTGTATTATCGCCGTGCAGGCTGTTGGGTTTTGCACCCCCATTCACTCGGCGGTTTTCTGTGTCACGACATGCATTTATTGCAGTGAACCCATAAGGCCGTGCAATCACATGTCCAGTCGGATGAGTTTCCCGCGTAATCGCACCGATTGTGCAACGAGTGAATGCCAGTGTTTTCGGGGAGAGTGCCGGTTTCGGTGCGAAATGGAGTCGACGCTAGCCATGTTAGTATAGGCTCACCTGGCTGCGAGAACGCGTGGTGTGACCAGCCGGGTACCTGATGCGCGCTAGCCCTATGACAAACGATCTTCGTGT